ATTCTTAAAACCAACTTTTTTCAATATCGTACTCAAATTACTGTTTTCCAGATAGGAATTACCAGTATTCTTTGGTTTTACTCTGTTACATCTTTTTAAATTTTAACATCTTACTTTTAATTCTAACATACATCTTTTAAACAGTTTTTTCTTTTAATGATAGCCTTACCTTATTTGTTCAAATTAATTCTTTCATTCACCTTCTTTACTACCTTTCAGTACCTTCATAATTCACTATGCAAACGCAATGTCTTTCACTGACATTCTGTTTAATAATACCACAAGTTTCCTTAATTGACAAAAAGCGAATTATTTCTCATTTCAAAATAGAACTACTATATTTTTGCACAAACATTACCTTTATCCATTCAAGCCACCCCTTAACCTGTAACTGACGTAGCGATAGGAAAGGAGATTCTTATCATATGCTCTTTCGACATTTGAGGTTTCTAGAACTTCTTTGACAAGTATATCAATACCATCAGAAAATATACTTAACACTTTTACCCAGTTTAAAGGCAACATACTGTTATAAGAATGGTTTTAGTTAAATTTATAACACAAATAAACGCATTTTGTGCTAAATAGGCATAAACATTTAGATTCAGAATATTTCTTTTTAATCCGATGTAAGACTTGAATTTCATTCATGATACGGATTGTCTCTTGATTTTCTTTTTGTTTACCTTACACTAATAGAAAATTTTTATTTTACAAGTTCAGCTTTTAATGAAATAGAAATAAAAACTACGATACACCTGCTGTTTTTAAGAAAAGGAACTTTGATATATTTCTGGAAATGTAAATGCTTTTAGAGTTTTCTTTCAATAACGTTGATTTTCATTACTTTACTAACTTCAATAATTCTCTTATTAGCTAATATGAATGAAAGAAGATTGTCAAAAAAATGTGACACAGTATAATTCTTACGAACATACGTACCTTTACCAGCATACAGATATTACCGATTGAAATGAAGAAAGATACAGATATTTTACTCCAATCTACATTAAATTAAAAAAAATATTTAAACTTTCATACATTCCAAGAGAATAAACGAAAACTCAATAGATATTGTTATGTTTGTATATATGAGATAAAAAGTTTTATGAATGGTATTTAAAGTAATGCTTAGAACTTCATAAAAGCGAACATTCACTATGTTAATACACATATCATCAGTTATTTACATTATGACTTCAATGTAATATTAATCATTACATGTACTATATACGCATATATATTTAAAGTTTAATTGTCTTACAATTGAATAATTAACTATTGAGAGAAAGAGGTTCATATCTTACACTATTTAATTCACATGGAACAAATTTTTCCATCAACCACATTGAACCACGTTTATTAAATTCGCCAAAGCTCTTTTATTTCTGCATTTTCACACTCACGACACATTTTAAATGTAACTATTGATTACCATTTCAAAACACCGATATCATAACTCAGTGTAAAACTACATCATAACTCATTTTTTCCCTACTAACTACAATTTTATATATTCAAGAAGTACATCTAAGACATGATCATTTTTCTATGTTCTAGCAAATCGATTCAATTGCGAACATACTATTAAGACTTGCGATTTTAGAAGAAGACTTGCATGTATTAACGATGTCAACGTTTCTTCGTTTTTGTAAGATTCACATCAAACCATGTCGCATTCGAATGTGGTGTAAGAGATCACTTTTTCTTTTAAACACTTGTAAACAATGGATGCAATTTATAAGAAGAGAAGTATCATGCTGTTTCAAAACATCATCATCAGCATATTTCTGTTTCTTTTGACACCAGCAAAATTTAAAAAAAAAAAACAAAAAAAAAGGTTCGTGATGAGATTTCTTCAAATTCTGTTTTACTTGAAAAAAATGTCCGAACATTCAATACGATAACATGTAAAGATTCATATTGTTTTAAATTCTTATGCTCACTAAATATTTTTTTATCACATGATTTACTCTTAAAAGTAACTTTATAAGTTTTCATATCCTTTTTACATGAAAAGAACTTGTGATTATTCACTACAAAATTCTAAGACGAGAAGCTTCGCGACTTTTCAAACTACAAACTTAAATTTCTTAGGACATACACTACATCTGATGTTTCTTTCATGAGATTTCAAATATCTCTTCAGATTACTCGTATTCAAGAAACCTTACAAATATATCACATAAGTTCAGCGAATAATCGCTTCATAAACTCTTAAATTTTCAACACGAGTGAATCACTTGAAGCATATACTGCACTGTAAACATACAATACTTAAAAAAATTGTTATAAAAAATAAAAATACATTCATTTCACCAAGAAGCTTTTCTATTTAAATACATTTATTTATTTCCAAAGAACAAGTTTCTGTATATAACATAAAATATACTTAGAATTTTCTTTCATTAGTTAATATCAAATTAACAACAATATCCATTTACTGATATTTGATATACATGTTTGCTTTAAAATTAAAACTAAAATTTCAATATATTTCTATTAAAAAAAACATAAGGAAAAAAAATACTCATAACATCAACCAAAGACAGAAATTTAAATAGAATAGCTGTACTTATATTAGTGCATTTTTATAATCTTCATAACATTTCGATTCAAAAAACCTATTACAAAATAAATGAAAACATTTTTTTCTGCCTTAAAGAATCTCTTATATTTTTAAAATTAATACATAAAAATATATCTTCACCAAATATTTAATTCTGTCCTCAACACTTATTATAATGCAATCATGTCTTGTTTGTGAAGGATGATTTACAATGCAACCTTCGCATTTAAATAGCTTTTTATCACTGAATTTAATTCAGTTTTGATAGAGTTTATGAGTTCTTTAAAAAGTTCATCATCATCATAACTTACCATATCCGAACAATTGTTTTTACATTTGATTTGCAACGGTAAAATAATTTCAAAAATACTTTTATATAAAGTATTAGATACATCAGGAATAATTTCTTTCAATTTTTTTAAAATATCACAGTTTACTTTTAGGTATGTAGGTTTTAGTTTAAAAGAATTTTCATCTTGTTTAAAAACTTGTTGAAAAATACACTCACCTTCTTTGTTGAAAACTACCAACTCATTATTGCAAATGATGCTGGCACTCGTATAGACAAGATTAAATTCATATATTTTTGAGGAAAATTCTTGCCATGTTGCAGGAGTTATACAACAACACCGCGTGTAGTAGGGTATAATATTTTATTTTGTTCCACACATTCACGTAGATGAATGTTCATTCTGTTTTCAAACTGATTTATGGACACAAAATATCCCCAACCAAAGAGTCCACTGTGCAATCAACTTCGAACTTTCTTTTTTCTGTTCTCGATTATTCGGCATGAAGATATTTTCAGGAACAGACTTCATATAGTGGGCAAACCAGTCATCCTCTGGAAGTTCATCCTCATTATCTTCCAAGCGTCGTTTTTTAATTTTCGAAATTTTTATGTTTCGGAATGTGATACTAATTCTAGGATCTTTAACGTCAGGTTGAGAGGGTATTCCGTGCATCCAAAATTGATTCGTTGGGTGTTTCATTACAAGGAGAGTTCCATGAGTTAAGTCCACGCTTCGAGATGTGAAATTTCGCCTGGTAAATACCATTTGACGTTTTGCACTTAAACTGATGATAGGTATATCACTTTCAGGTTCGAGACAAGTTTCATTGTCTTTATGCGTTGAAATTTTAGCACCTGCATCAGGATAATAGTTCAATAAAGCAAAATTATACTTTTTGCCAGTTATCGTTTCAACATAATCTTTTACATTTAGAAGAGTTTGAGTCCATGGTTCTGCACAAATGCTCGTTCTAGAGAATTCGTAACTAAGTCCTTCATCACCAAAACCGAGTACTTTTCTTTGTGGAACATACTGAGTCCCATTAATTTCAAAACTAATATTTTTAAAATCATAATTTGATAGTTCATCTAGCAAAATATCAGCTTCATTTCGTGAATAAAATTCTTCGTATAATTCCACATTTAACTCTGTATCACATATATTCCTCATATTCGCTTTTGAATCTAACGACAATTCTGAATGATATAGAAATACGTAGCATTCTTAAATAGCAAAAATTATCTAAAACATACATTAACGAAATGATTTCATCAACACTTATCGTAATACATTCTTGTCATGTCTTGTTTGTGAAGCCAGTCTTTCCGGCGTCATATGTGTAAAAATAATCATGATATCATGATAGGATAGTGGGAAAGAGTTATAGTGTCCTTATGTTGTTATTCTGAACCTCGATATTACATATATGCATAAGGAGAATCTTAAAAGCATCATCCACTTATCATGATAGAGTAATGGAAAATTTCTAAAACTCTGATAATCATACGCGAAAGAATGTATTATCTTAAGCTTGTTGTTGCTATTCCAAGTTTGACAATACATACGGAAGTGAAGGAAAACCCTTGATGAGTGCTGCACGTTATCATGATAACGTGAAGTCTACAGCTCTTATCAAGGATCTTCCTTCACTTCTGTATGTATTGTCAAACTTGGAATAGCAACAACACCTTAAGATAATACATTCTTTCGCGTATGATTATCAGAGTTTTAGAAATTTTCCATTACTCTATCATGATAAGTGGATGATGCTTTTAAGATTCTCCTTATGCATATATGTAATATCGAGGTTCAGATAACAACATTAGGGGACACTATAACTCTTTCCCACTATCCTATCATGATTATTTTTACACATATGACGCCGGAAATTTTTCAGTGTATGTACCGCAGTTATGTTGGTTAAAATCATATAAATGCCTGCAGTAATATCGTACAAATGTCGACTGCATTGACAAAAACTCTTCAAAACTGCTTTTGCTTATTCAAGTCGTAATGAGGAATGCCGCACATATCTCTGCAAGCAGCCTGTCCTCTAAGATTCGAAATACTGAAGGTACAACTTTGAGACTTTCATATACTTGTTGAAGTTGATACATGTTGAAGTTGAAGCTAAAACATAAGCCTGTAAAAATTCGCTAATTTGCCATTTTTTTTCTATTGCAATTCCTTAAAATCATTATTAATCGGAAACGTTCTTTGTTGCAGCTTTACCTCTAGGAATGTTTCAAGATCCAGTTTTCAACAATGATAAACCAAAGTGAGTTACTTTTCATTTATTTCTTTAATTCAATTTATAATTCGCATGTTCGGATTAGAATAATTTCATTTCATAATATTCGTCCTGATTTGTCCTGATTTACACATTTATTTCAGCTACTTGAACTTTGGAGCTCTCGGTTCGTTGATGGGTCGTGAATTAATATATGCATTCATTGATAAAGGTAAAACAAATTTTTGCACTGAAACATACTCCAGCATATAAGTAGTAAAAAGTACCACATATAAATTAATATTAAGTCTTACATTTGCATACCATAAAATAAAAAAATGGGAAGAAAGTGTTTTGCCATCACAACTTCTCAAAATAAGCATTGGGTCTAATGAGTCCAACCATTCAAGACAGACCGCAGAAAATCTCCCTTTCTCTGATATTAGGGCACGAGAGCGAAAATTGTTTTTTTTTTTTTGGAACGTGAAAAATTTCAAATTTTATGTCTTTTTATTTATAAAAACTCGAGACTTCTAGATTTGACATGCGAGTTTTGTGTCTTATTCTGATAAAAGCATCTTAAATGATCTGCTAAAATCAAATGCACACTTTCATGTAATATAATTTAAGAATATTACGTTACATGGAAGAATTATGTATTTAATTTATATTCTGATAATTTTCCTCATATCTTAAATATAGGCCGATTGTAGGCATAAGGAGTTAGACAGTTAAAAAAAAGCATTTATCTATTCTCTTCTTATACGTAGATTAACCAAATACCCACATATCCTTAGGCAGAGATGTATATATCTCCTGCACTGGTTTTCCTAAAAATAATAATGTCAACACTGTGCAATACCTGTGGAAACGAAACACTTAACTGAGATTTTGTTTAATAAAAGTTTTTAAAGAACACCGTTTGGACCTGACGTGATCTGTTATGTAAATAGCGAATTTAGTGTTGAGAAATATGATTATTTCATAATGATTCATAAAGAGCATCATTTAATTATTTGTCCACTTTTTCATACCTATTTGCGTCAATTAAGAAATGAAAGAGAAATTTCAAGAACGTTAATATCGCAGATCGTAACTGCGATACGAAAACGTTGCTAACTAGACGTTGATCTCTCTCTATCAGAGATGAATTTTGGGGGTTAAGAAGTGGTCAAACAATGAAACACGAGAATATTACTTCTATTTGTTATTTTTGGATGCCTGAGGACATGACGGAGGACGGGGACATCTGGTATCTAACAAAAGTAAGCAGGTATATGTTCTACGCCCTCCACTCACTATCTTGAACCGGTAGCTCCCTCGAAACCCATGCTTGAGGACAAGAAGCAATTCCAGCAATTTCCAGCAATTCAGTACTATGACGCATTGCCGCGACAATTTCGCGCAGCCAGAGGAAATCGTTATGTTGGCTCCAACTATATAGCATCAAAAATACAGCAATCTATTTTGAAGTAGGGAGAGCTTGCTTGGAATGACACTTAAGTCATTGACCACAGTCCACCCATTACGATGATCATTTACGATTGCTTTATTCATTTTTTTTTTATCTCACAGAAAACCTTATCTAAAATCCCTTCTCATTTACTCTTCAGACTAACTTTTACAAATATTACACATAATTTACCAGTATTAATTGAAGTCGCACTCCTGTGACCCATTTTTTACTTTATTAATAGTTTTCGATTAATAATTCAAACTTGTTCATAAGAAATGAACACTTTCTGCACATCAACTTAAGTCGAGGGACTTGACGTAGAAGGGGAAAATTCTCAGAAAAACCCAGGTAGCAAGTTACCATTTTCACTTCTACAAAGACTTGAACGCCAAACAGTAAGCGATTATCGCTCAGATTGGGATCACGTGATCCTTCAGAAGCAGAACTTTCGTCTTATTGGTTGATCTCTACGCGGGACAGAGCTGCAGCCGAAACATTTTCGTTCAGGTGTCAAGAAATCCCGCGTAGCCGGTACATCGTTTCCGTAGCTAGGTGGAACTTCGTCCCCAGCGGGGCTCTTTTTTCTAGGAACTCTCCCGTCTAAATCAGTTCTACCAGAATCTTGTTTCTCAGAAAAATTCCGTCTAGCAGGGACCTTCTCTAGATGTGATAACCTCTTTAGATGACATATCAGAAACTCATGTAAAACTGGTTTTTATTGAACAATTACATAAATTAAACTTCTCCGATATGGACACAATCAAGAAATTAACCCAGTTCGATGTATCCTTAATCCAGCATCTTGAACCCTAGCGCATCAACCATGTGATTAAGAAAATCGGAAATTGTATAAGTGATCTGCAGTTATTAGTTGACAGTAGACAGAATTTTTTGTCAGATATTGCCTCTATGTTACCGGACGAGCCATTTACAGAGGGCCTGCGCCTTCAGCAACGTTTCGCACGTGATCTTGATTTTTACAAGGACTGTATTACTTCATTAACTGGTAAGTGTGCATTACTTCTTTCCCCTAGAACTGATATTATACAATTAAATGCCAATGTTAAGCCTAAGCTTAATGAGCGGAAAAATTATGGGAATCCAGTATCGAAGATGTTGTTTTTAAAAAGCCAACCAAAACTAGTAAAGCTGCTAAATGTACTCCTCCCAAAAGTGATATTACACTAAAAAATAGATTTGCTAAATTAGCTGATAATATTACTGAAAATGATAATAATTCATTAGATAATAATGTAAATGTTGATAATAACCCTGACAATAGTGTTAGCAATAATTCTCGTAATCATGTTTCTCCTAATGAGAGTTCTATTCCTAGCAATTATGTTGATTCTGATAATGTGCTTAATATGAACGTTCCGGCAAACTCTGCTGACAAGAATAATGATACACCTCGTAAGGTACCTCCTATCATGGTGAGACCCCCGCAAGGCACAACTTACTATGTCTTTGCTGTCAAAAAAATTCCCAGCAAACAAGTTCTTTGGCCGCACTACCGGTGATTTTCTAAAAATTGAACCTACTACACTAGATGACCATCGAGTTCTTAGCAGTTATTTTGATGAAAAATCCATTGAATACCATCTAATTAAGCCTAGGCACAATAGGTCGGCTAAAGTTTTAATACGAGGTCTGCCCTCAGATTCCAACACTGATATTATCTCAGAATCCCTTCGCATAATGTTGTCAAGTTAACTAAGTATAAGACTAAGGCTCCCATGCCTCTATTTCAGGCACAATTAATACCCAACGACAAGATCGAAAATATTTATCTTGAAAAATATCTTATGTATTTTCATATCTCTATTGAAAAATATGAGTCTAAAACACAAGTGCCTCAGTGTGACGATTGCCAGAAATGGCATCATTCTTCCGAGAACTGCCACTTTGCAACCCGTTGTGTGAAGTGTGCAGGGTTTCATATAACTGGCAATTGTGACAAAAGTCACACAGATAAACCTATTTGTGTAAACTGCCAAGGCCCCCACGTGGCTTCCTATAGGGGTTGCCCTAAGTTTCCTAAGACTAAGAAAAGTCAAAAAACATCCGCAGTTAAGATAGGCACCAGTTATGCACAGGCACTGCAACCTAAGCCCACTCACGCCTCTGAAACTACCAATAGTCAAACAGCTGCTGCCGATCTTCCACACAGCAGTAATAATGCAATACCCAATAATAATTATAACTCTATATGATACTCTCTGCCTCAGTTAATTGTACGCAATCCAATATTTTTGAGTTATTAAATATTATGAGAGAAGTTGAAAATATGTTTGGCCATAATATTAGTAAAATTATTTCAATTTACAAAAACAAAATGGATGAACTCAGGAAGTGTGGCAGTATACTTAACAGAATTCAAATCCTGTACCTCATATTGGAGGAGATACACCAGCTTGACAACAATACACCTTAATTTGTTATTATATCTACTGTACTCATTATGTATCTCACTAGTTAATCCCTCTTCACCTTTTTCTGTTTCCACCTGTTCCGCATATTAATTGTAATTGTACAGTTACTGGTATTATTGGCATTTTTTTATATCACGGTTTTTGTTTGCCCACTTACCTTCGACCTCAATGGTTATTGCACGCGGTAGGAGTAGTTGTTTTTGGATTCTTCACAGAAATATGTGTCTTCTTTTTATGCACAATTTAAGTTCGAACTTTTCTGTACTTTCGAAACCTCTATGCGTTCGAAAATCGACATCTATGTTATCTTGGGATAGCGACTTATTCGCGGGTGCCCGTCAAAGCAAGCTGCAGTGCTGTCTGAGCCGCCGAAAACATCGCGGACGAAAACGTCGCGGCGAAAACTGTTATATAAATAAATTAAATTATACCTTCATCACAGCGGCGTTTATTAGGAGAATGGAAAATTAAGCAAGCATAATACTGCGATGAACATTACTACGACTAATATATAACTGAAGTTCAGAGCTAAAAGTAGGCAGATTGCCCCAAAACATAGAGGGCATCATTTAACGCTCTGAGAGACGAACACAAGCTAATAAAGAAAGAGGAAATCACATTAATCATTGCATCTCGTGACATTCGGAGGTATAAAATAACAACAAAAACATCGCGGCACAAAACATCGTGGGAGAAAATAAAGCAAAGAGAAAACATCGTGGTACAAAATATCGTCGTCGAAAATAAAGCGGTTCAAAAACTTGGCAGTTTAAAAACATCGTCGTAGAAAATATCGTGCTAAAAAATAAAGTACCTACAATGTGACGATAACATCGCAGACATGTATTTTCAGGCTTTAATATTTGTAAATGGATATTTGCATAATGATTTGTGAGCGCAAGATGGAAAGAAGGATAATTCTTGCTATCATATTTTTTATTAACTAATAAATTTATAAAAAACAAAACACGAAGTTAAACAAGTCATTTTTAGATCATACTTTTTATGAAAAATTACCAGTAAAACTTTATAAAAAATAATTTATTAATGATGTTTGTTAGTTAACTATGTCAGTTTAAAATTCTTTTAAGTGCTGTATGTTGCATTAATTTTCTATGTTTAAGTTTCCATTTTACATTTTCAGCAAATCTTTTATAGTTAATAAAAAAATATGAAAGCAAAATTATCCTTCTTTCCATCTTGCGCTCACAACTCATTATGGGAATATCCATTTACAATTATTAAAGCCTGAAAAAAGAAGGTCTGCGATGTTATCGTCCTGCGATGATTTGTCGATACTTTATTTTTTACCGCGATATTTTCGACGACGATGTTTTTAAACTGCGAAGTTTTTGAACCTCTTTATTTTCAACGACGATATTTTGTAGCACGATGTTTTAGAACTTTGTGTCCCGAATTTCCCTGTTCAGTGCAAAGGACGCTATTCTGTCAGTTATTCACATATACCCTAGTATTTAAGTAAGCTAAATGCGCTATACTTTTTTGGATTATGCCTAATTATTTGCTGAACAAAATTACAAATATCTGAAAAATTTACTCATCTTCTTTCTGAGGCTCACGCGTAAGAGAGTCACCTACACATTTTAAGCATGTCGAAGTGTTAAAATTTTCGAATTGCCATGTACAAAGCACTAACATCTGGAAGCTCTGTAAAAAGAATGTTGTTGGCTTATTAGTACTTAATACTATTAGGCAAAGAATGTTTTAAGTTGCTAATAGAAGCAATAATTTCCTAAATTTATAAATTTATTATTTACAAATGATTGCTTAGCAGTGACATAGTGTGAATATTCACAGTTTTCGGACCACTGTATACTACACAGCGGTACAAAAACTGTGATAATTCCCATTTTTAAATCCTTTTTCAAGGATTTAAAAATGAATCTGCGTATAGCTTCAGTCAAAGTCTAAATCAAACTTAAAGCTGCAACTAATAGTGCAAAATTTCAGAAGTTAGCCAGGGAAGGATATTTTTAATGAATTGCTATAGAAGTTTGAATATTTCTGTTAGAAACTCCATACTTATACATGGCTCTTACGTTAGCCATTTGTTGAGAATATTTAATCTCACTCTCCTGCGCAATCTTTCTGGTTCTTTGCCTGCGATTAGGTTATTTGATTATGAATCTTTATTTTCTCTTTTGCCCAATAACGGTTTGCATGTGTTTTGAGAAATGAAAAAAAAAAAGAATGAAGTAGTCACTGAATATGATTTTGAGACTATAAGAAATATTTTAAGGTGTCTTCGTAAGGAATAGTATTTAACGAGAAGGGGCAACAGCGTAAAACGTATTAGAAAATGAGTTTATCTTCTACTAGTTTATCTAGTTACTCGTTGCATTTAAGCTATTGTTTATAAAAATATTTAATATATGTATTGTGTCATATCTCTAGCAAATTAACATGAAAAAGATACAAGATGATGTTGTAGCTGTCAGTGGAGGTTTGAGAGCAGCTTATTGGGTAAGAAATATGCTTGAATTTTATAAAATCACAGAATAAATATTTAATTAAAATGTAAAATAAAAGAAATGTAAATTAATGCATAAGAAGTAAACTAATCTAATTTAATAAAGAAGGAAAGGTTAATTATATAAATTTAAGCGATTCTTTAATAAGTGCATTTAACCGAAGCAGAAGAGCGTTTACTTGTAATTAAATTACTAATTATGTCTGGGCCTGTTCTGTTGCCCTTTATTCAGTGTTATAGTTAGCGAAATCATCATCATGATAAACTATGAAGCAGAAACAAAATAGGAAGTATTTAATACTGAATGTCAGTAAAGCATTCAGAGAAAAAATTATGCATTTAGCTTGTAAAGTTGCGCGCCTCAAACCTGCACGCAACAAAGTGGTGGCTGCTGAAACTGGAAATTAGACAGAGTCTTGAGAAGGGTTTAAGTCCCTTTTTATTCAACTTTAGAAAGTAAATGCGTGCTCTTGACGCTCACAAAACGCGCACAAACTACGCCGACCCGGCGGTAAAAATAAAATAAGAAACTGAAAAGAGATAATAACAAGAGACTAACTACGAGGCTCTCTAAACGTAACTAACCTCACTCACCGCGTTTTACACTACCGCTGATACTTCAGCAAACTCTGAATATTACGTTGAAAGATTAACAATTTGCCTAGGCAAGCACACAGGCCGAAACGCGTGGTTCTTCATTTCTGACTAACTACCTCCGCGCTCGTGAAGTAAGAAAAGCACCCTTCGAACTCGTTTCCTTTCTATTTAACTCAGAATACTTCCGCTGATAATTTGAATCCTTGCGCGTTCTACTAAAAATTTACATACTCTGGCATTGGCAGTTCCAGGGGAAAGTAAGGCTTGACAGAAAAGATAGTTTAAAAACTTAAAATAAATGTTAGTTAAAATAAATATAAACCCTACATTCGCGTCGCCGCTGCCAGAATTTGGAAAACTTGGAAGCAGGTCCACAAACGACCTGTTGAAAGGTTTCTACAATTCTGAACTAACTTTTAAGAGCCTCGTTTACATAAAAAATGTCTTTATCTCACAAAAGGTAATAAAATTTCTGAGTATACTTATTAAATCTCTCTTCTTACAGCAACTTTTTCCTGGACTTCAGCATCAATCTTGTTTTTTCCTTCCCAGCATCTGGAAGGAATAAGTATCAGTATCTTTCTAAATACATATAATTTACACTTTCTTGACACTGAATACATTTTTTGTTTTTAAACGATTTATTTTCCTTACTTAACTGCTTACTTCACATTCATTCAAGTATTCAAACATTAATTTAACTTTACCCTGGCTCTCCACCATATGTGGTGTCAAACGGGAATATTCGTGTTTTGGTATTCCAACACTTCCCCTAACCACCATGATTTGTTAGAACTGAACGACCAAATAGACACACCTTACTCAACATTCTACAACTCGATGAGCTACTTTAACATTCTTAAAATTCAAGTGTAGGTGGAGAACCCTACAAAACACATTCATTCTAACTTCCCCCTCGTTCATCACATGCAGGCTTTCGCTCTAAAGCATGATTTTATTTACAGTTTAATACTTAAATTTGAATTCATTGCTTTGAGCATTTACTTTTTAGCATCTAAAATTTTTATGCTTCTAGACTAAATTCTACTTTTACATAACTTTCAAGTATATTTACGTATTTTACAAAATTCTAATACATATGATTTTTACAATTTACCATAAAAATGAATAAGAGAAAAATAAATTTTTACTTTACTCATTCTTTCGCTAAGCTGGCGGCACTGAAACAAAATTTTTTCTTATTAATACAAGAATACGAAGTTATTTTTATCTTCGGCCAAATTTTGGGCTTTAAAAAACAGAATTAGTCTTTCGACCAACAAAACTGCTTGTTCTTAGATTTTTATACTGAAAGAAAATACTACTTTGCCTTATCTAAATAAGGTAAAAACAAAACTAAGTCTCAACCGAGACAATTGACTTTCGTCAAAACATAACTTCGTATTTACGCATAACATTTTGGAAACAAAAAAAAATTTTTATAGAAATTTTTTAACTTATCTTTGAGTTTTCGATGATTGGAACTCCGTCATTCTTTTCTGGCAGAACTGTTCCCACGTTATAGGTTTCATGGACGTCAATCTTCTCCTTAATGACCTCCGAGTGTCGTCCACATTAATTTTTCGTTTGTCGTCCTCTGCATGCTGGCCTCTTGGCGTAGTAGTCGTCGGTTGCTGTCTTTTCGTTTTTTTTTTCCCTGGACGGCTGGTCTTGGCGTCCTCCGGTCTGGAGTCATTCTTGAATTTCTTCTGTTGTTGCTGGTCTTTTCGTTCCTCCTGCTGTCTTTTTATTTTCCGGAACGGCGGCCTTGTTTGCACCCGACTCTCTGGCCCTGGGAGTGTTCTTGATGTATAATTTCTACTGCGATACGTTGTAGGTGATGTTTTCCTCTTTACCAAGGTTTCTTTACGCGGTGGCTTTGCATTTTTGTTTTTCTTAAATGCTGGAGTCTGAAATTTTTCGTTTTTTTCTTTTCGGTACCGTCGCCTGGGTTGTAGAAGGGCTAGGTCTCTCTTCAGTTCTCTGCTTCTTGGGGTGGTGGAACGGGTTGACGTTTATTTCTGGACCTTCTACTTCTTTTACGCTTGAGTCCTGCAAGAAACTTTTAAGGATTTCAAAATCATTTTGATTATAGTATTTTTTTTCACCTGGTCTGGACTTGCTTTACAGATTTCGCGCGTATCTGACGCGCGTTTAAGTGGAACAATTTCTGTCCATTTTGAAAAATGATCTACAATTACTAAAAGAAAAAGATTTTTATTTAACTCGCTCTGGGGGAAAGGAACAAGAAGATTTATGCCTAAAATTTCATTCGGAAATGTAGCGCGAATGCTATTTAAATACCCGGCCGGGCTGTAATTAATATCATTTATTAACTGACATTGATTGCAGGACCTGACATACGCAGTTACTATTTTGTACAATTGCGGGAAAATATACCGCCTCGCGTTCCCTCCCTTTTTAAAGTCTTTTCTGACCCCTAAATGACCCGCTGTTTTTCGCGTCGTGTAATTCCTTCAAAATGCTTAATCGAAGCGAGGCTGGGATTACTGGTTTGTACTCGAGATTTTCGTTTGTTGTTTTTCGTATAAAATAATAAATTATCTATTATTTCATAGTTTTCTGCTCTATTTCTCATCGCATCGATATCTGTATGTTCAAAGCTTTCGGGGTCTTTCAAATATGCATAGATACTTCCAAATTCAGGATCAGCTTTAAGTTCAGCGATAATTGTATCTCTAGAATCTAAAATTTTTTAAGTTAACACAGCACATTTAAGTTTATTACCTTCATCGTCCAGTTTTATACGAGAAAGTGCGTCAGCTACATTCTTTTCCTTACCCGGTTTATATTTTATTATTGGATTTATTCTTGGAGTTTTTAAAGCCCATCTTATTAACCTGGGCGTTAGGTTTTTCCCCGAGTAAAGTCTACCAACAGCCGCATGATCCGAAAAGACTGTTACTGGCGATTTGCCGAAATAAACTCGAAATTTGTGTACAGCCATTAATACGGCTAATGTTTCTCTTTCTGTAGCTGTATAATTCCTTTGTGTCTGATTCAACGTTTTACTAAAAAATGCCAGCGGATGGTTAATTTGCATAAGAACCGCACCCACCGCATAGTCCGACGCATCTGCTGCAATTTCCAGGTTTTTATCCCCCTCCGGGAATTTCAAAACAGGGGCACTGATGAGCGCTTCTTTTAATCTTTCAAATGCGGTATTTGCTTCCGCTGTCCACGTAAATTTACTTTTATTTCTTTAAATTACTAACAGTGGTTCAACAATATTAGCGAAATCTTTTATGAATGACCGATAGTAAGAACATAACCCAAGGAAAGAAGAAAGTTTCTTGGCGGTGTTGGGCGGTGGGAAATTCTTGATGGCTTTTATTTTTGAATCTTGCGTTTCTATACCGTTTTGCGAAATTTATAACCCAATTTTAAGTTCTTAGTTGCGAAACTTGCATTTGAGCGTTAATTGTAAGACCGGCCTCTTTAATAATTTAAAACACTTCTTCTAGATCTTTAATATGTTGTTCCAACGTACTATCGTTATAATTAATCATCTAGATAGATTAAAGTCGATTTTCCTAGGACAGCTTTAGAACAATGTCCATAGCTCTCTGGATGTTGATGGGGCCCACACAACCCAAGGCATGCGTAAAAATGCATAAGTGCCCGATTTGTTATAACGGCGTTTTATATATGTCTTTCGGGTCTCATAGCTATTTGATAGTAGCCCCACGTTAAGTCCAAGTAGTCATGTATCTAGTAGATTTTTTTCTAATAATTTCCTCTATAACCGGCCAAGGGTAAACTAGGAATTTAGTAATACTATTCCGTTTTCTGTAATCGATAGCAAATCTCCAAGCCCTTTTTATCCGAAGGAGGAAACTCGTTCTTTTTCCTACATAGTACGACTGGACTCTCGTACTCACTATTTTATGGCGTTATTATTTTGTTCTTTAACTTTCCTGAATAGTGTCTTCGATGATTAGGTTTTTTGTTATCATAACGATACGGTTTAGTCCTACAGGTTTTTTCGGCAGTTAACTTATCGCATGCGTACTATTTGACAGCTACCAGGCCTTTCTGAAAAATTTTAAAAGTATCACCACTTGCGGATGGCTGACTTCATGTCATTCAAATGCAGGTCAACTGCGTTGTTTCCACGGGTTCCACCACACTCTGGTCCATCTCCACACAATAGAACGTCCTGAAATCATTTGGCCCCGCGCCCTTAAACTCCATACCTAAAGTAAGAGGATTTTGCAAATGTTTTTACTACAAATTAATAGTTTTGAGGCTTTCCTCTTTTACCTGTATGTTTAATGATAATTCCCGATGCAGTGCCAGTTTTTCCTTGGCGCTATAATTTTTCTGTGTTTTTTTTTAATAATCGTAACCTATAAAATTATTTTGAAAGTCCACT